CCTCCTGCAGCTTCTTCCTACCCTCCGGCAGATCAACATTCCCCCCCCCAACTTGGTGTCATCTGCAAACTTACTAAGGGTATCCTCACATCCAGGTCATCAATAATGATGTTGAATAGGACCGGGCCCATTACTGATCCCTGGGGGACACCGCTGGTCACCAGACATCAGCTGGATGCAGCTCCATTCACCATCACTCTCTGGGCCCAGTCATCCAACCATTTTTTAACCCAGCAAAGGGTGTACCTGTCCAAGCTGTGGATTGCTGGCTTCTCCAGGAGGATGCTGTGGGAGACTGTGTCAAAGGCCTTGCTGAAGTTGAGGTAGACCACATGCACAGCCTTCCCCTCATCCACTAGGTGGGTCCAGTCATAGAAGGAGATGAGAATGGTTAGGCAGGACCTTCCTCTCCTAAACCCATGTTGGCTAGACCTGATCCCCTGATTGTCTTCTACATGCTGCTTGATGGCACTCAGGATGATCTGTTCCATAATCTTGCCAGGCAATCGATGGCTACAAGCTTTTCAGGAGGGATAGAAAGGGAAGGAGAGGGGCAGTCATAGAAGGAGATGAGAATGGTTAGGCAGGACCTTCCTCTCCTAAACCCATGTTGGCTAGACCTGATCCCCTGATTGTCTTCTACATGCTGCTTGATGGCACTCAGGATGATCTGTTCCATAATCTTGCCAGGCAATCGATGGCTACAAGCTTTTCAGGAGGGATAGAAAGGGAAGGAGAGGGGGTAGATTGGCCCTGTATGTTAGAGAATGCTATGAGAGCTTGGAAATCAAGTACAGTCATGATGAGGTTGAGAGTGTTTGGATTAGGTTAGGGCCAATAAAGCTGATATCGCTGTGGGAGTCTGCTATAGGCCTCCTAACCAAAGCGTTGAGGTGGATGAAGCTTTCTATAAGTAGCTGGGAGAAATCTCCCAGTCACTTGCCGTTTTTCTTGTGGGGGACTTTAACCTCCCAGACATCTGCTGGGAATTCAACACAGCAGAGAGAGAACAATCCAAGAGGTTCCTGGAATGTGTGGAGGATAACTTCCTCACACAGCTGATAAGTGAGCCGATCAGGGAAGGTGCCCTCCTGGACCTGCTTCTTGTGAAAAGGGAAGATCTTGTGGGGGAAGTAAAGCCTGGAGGCCATCTAGGGCACAGTGATTATGAGTTGATTGAGTTTTTGATCCTTGGAGAAAACTGCCACCTGAGACTTCCAGAGGGCAAACTTTGACCTGTTCAGAAGACTGATTGACAAAGTCCCTTGGGAGGCTGCCTTGAAGGAGTCAAGGAGTCCAGGAAGGCTGGACATACTTCAAGAAAGAAGTCTTAAAGGCACAGGAGCAGGCTGTCCCCGTGTGCTGAAAAAACAGTAAGCAGGGTAGGAGACCAGCCTGGCTAAATAGAGACCTTTGGCTGGACCTTAAGAAGAGGGGACAGGTCACTTCTAAAGTCTATAAAGATGCAGTGAACCTATGCAGGATGAAAATTAGGAGTCAAAGCACAGCTAAAGCTCAAACTAGCTACAGCTATTAGGGATAATAAAAAAGTTTCTATAAGTTCATTAACAACAAAAGGAGGATTAGGGAAAATCTCCATCCTTTATTGGATGCAAAGGGAATCTTAGTAACAAAGGATGAGGAAAAGGCTGAGGTGGTCAACACCTACTTTGCCTCAATCTTTAGCAGTGGAACAAGCTGCTCCTTGGATACACAGCCACATGAGCTAGGAGACAGGGAGGAGATGCAGAATGAGGTCATCACAGTTAAAGAGGAAGTGATCAGAGACCTACTACACCACTTAGACACACACAAGTCTATGGGACCAGATGAGTTCCATCCAAGGGTGCTGAAAGAGTTGGCAGATGTGATCGCCAAGCCATTTTCCATTATTTACCTGAAGTCCTGGCTAACTGGGGAGGTCCCAATGGACTGGAGGGTAGGAAATGTAACACCCATCTATAAGAAAGGCAGAAAGGAGGATCCGGGAAACTATAGACCTGTCAGTCTGACCTTGGTACCAGGGAAGGTCATGGAGCAGATCATCTTGAGTGTTATTAGAAGACATCTAGAGAATAACCAGGGGATCAGGCCCAGTCAGCATGGGTTTATGAAAGGCAGGTCCTGCCT